CTGCAGGGACATATCTGCCACCCCTTCGAGTTTGAAAGCAGCGAAATGAGCTTGAGACCTTCACCTCTGCAAGTCTGAAGCATCGGACCCATTTTAGTGGTTTCAGAGCGACACAGGAGACTGCTCCGAACCCGAATCTGTGTCTAACACAGTTGGGTTGAGTGCGTGGGTAACCCCACGTGACTCATTCATTTCACAAGGTTTAATATAAAAAGCACAACCCTTTGCGATCCTCCACAGCTGGGGACTTGGTTTGGTCGCAGCCCAGCGCGTCCCGGGAGGCAGATGCCGGGGCCGCCTCGTGTCCAGGGCTCCCTGACCGGGTTCAGGGGGCGGCAGAGTCCACGGGACCAGGAGAGTTGGGGCGGCTTCGGAACTGTGACGCTGGGACTCGAAGGGAACTGGACAGCAACGCTAGAGCCGAGGCCGTGGGAGAAGCGTCAGTGTCTGCGTGTCAGACGCTTACCTCCTGAACGGCCCTGCGATGTGCACGCAGCAGGTGGCATCGTAAGGGGAAGGAGAGGAGTTACCTGCTTCAGGTCTGGAAACCTGGCCCCACCCCTGTTACACCGAGGGCACTGACTCCAGCCTCTCCGTACAGCAAGGACATGGAGTGCAAGGGACCAGGACGAGTCTCACGTCGCCGGTGAGCTAGCGGCAGGCTCAGGGCGAGTCTGCTGGCTGAGGGTCCAGTTCGCCCGGACCCCAACAGCGACAGCACCACCAGGGAGAAACTGAGCAGGGACAAAACTCAGGTCTGCGCCTCTGCCCGGGAACCAGGGCGCCCTCTTCCGGGTGATTCTGAGACCCGGAGTGGAGTGGCGCTGTCCCTGGAGGGAGGGGCCCGCCAAGGGGAGGAGGGGGGCCTCAGCTGAGCGGCAGACAGGATCCCCTGGTCACCAGCCTGGGGGCCTCTCCTTCCTGCAGGAAATGAGGATGGGGCCCAGGGCTGTGGGTTTTCAGCACCTCCTCCTCTGTGAGGACCTTTTGCCTGTGAGCCCCGGAGCTAAGCACACCTGGTGACGGAGAACGTCTTACTTCCTGGTCTCCAGGCCTCCTTCCGGGAGTTTTAACGAAGGTTTGATCCTTCTGTAAGGGCTGAGTCTTGGCACGGTGTCCTGGGAGTATAAAACTGTCGCCAGGACTTGCGCTGCACTTAGTAACTCTCAGGGGAGCAACTCACTTTGAAAGAAACCAGGAGGCCCCTTTAGACCACATATTTCAAGCTATTCAGTTATCAAACTTGCACAAACAAGAGCGTTCTTCCGCGACTGATTGACTTTTCCATGTCTACGGTCCCTGGAGCAGGCACCGCTTCATGACTCCTACTGCAGAGTGAATGTTCACCCAGATTCCAGGCTCAGCCCTATTTTCACCATGTCCTGCTAAGGACAGAAAATCATTTTCTCTGCTTTTTTTTTTTTTTTTTTTGAGTTTGACAAAATTCATTGGTTATTTTAGTAAAGACATTCATCTCAGCTGTTTCTCTCCTCATCGTGACCTTAGATTACTATTTCATTTGGGTCAAGAAAAGAGTATGTGGGAGAGGGATGTTATTTTAACAAACAGTGAAATGGACAAAAATGAACAGTTTGCCTACATACAAGTAAAGTTGAAGTTCAATTCATGTATTTTGGTATGATTAAATCATGTAAGAACTAATAGTTCTATATAATTTCCATTGTTTTACTTGGGGCTTCATCTAAACTGTAATGTAAAAGAACAACTTATTAGGCATATGCGCAGGTTTCTTCTCTGGAGTTACTATTTAAAAAGATCAGCAAGTAACTACCACCAATAAAACAGTCTGAAGCTGCCTCCACATTTAACATTGTAGGCATTCTGAAGGGAATCACTGTATCATTTTTCTTTTGTCTGTGACTATGCTTTCAAAGATGTGTTTAACTGTCACTTTAAAAAAGTCCATACACAATACAAAAATACAAAACAAAACACCCTACAGTACACATACAGTATATGTGATGAACAATTCTATAAAATGTGTTTGAAGATGCATTTTCTTTCATTTTCAGTACCTACAATATGCCCAGGCCACTGGGCAGTATGTATACACTTAAAATAAACCATATAATTGTTCTAATAAGAAATCCTGTAGTGAGTTCAATTCAAATTGGATTTAACAACTTAGTAATGTAAATGTGTAGACAAATTTACAGAAAAATGCATCTTATTGTCTTCCATCTTCTACAATATTAAATTATTTTTTGGTGTTTATACCTTTAAAAAAATAAAAACCAGCCAAACACTTAAATAGTATGTACATTTAAATTTTTGGTGGTGGTTTATATTTTAAAAGAAACAGTTTCCTTATGATTTGCCTCAAGTTCTGGTGGAAATGCTTACAAGAATTAGCTAATAAACAAACAAAAACCAAGAGAAGCACTTTCAAAATACTGATTTACTTTGGTAGCAAATGGCTGTTCTTTGAAGACTAATGAAGGTAGACAAGACCTTTAAGGAGTGAAATGGTCTATTTCAAACTTGATACTTCACACAGAAATTTTTTAAAAAATTTATTTTTAGTAAAAGAGCTAAGCATCTGTATCTACTGATAGCAATGCAATACCTAATAATATGATAGCAAAACAAATGCCCATAAGAAAAAAACTATTTTAATTTTACCTAAATTTATTTTCAGTCAATAGTCCAGCAACATTTTCCTTTCAATACAATACTCCCCCTTTCTCTATGAGGCTGTTCCTGGGAGCCAGACAGTCACTTTAGGTCATGAGGGAGTTAATTTAGGAGTCACTGCTGACAGTTTTAAATAGACAGTTATTTTTTGCTTCCCTCTTAATGTGCTAATAGTTGTGTCTAAAAAATTATGCAATTCTTAAAAAGGTACCATTTCTGATTTCTTTATTATCTGTAACCTTTGGGAACTCATCACATGAAACCACAAAATTAGCAAATGTCTTGAAATCTGTATATAAAACATAAATTACCTCTAATTTCAAACTCTCACTTATTAGTGTACCACTCAATCTTAAAAAAAAAAAAGAAAAAGGAAAAGAAAAAGCAGCTCCAAAGATAGTCTTACACCATTTTAAAAAAGGAGACTGTTCCTTTTAACTTTCCACCCACCCCACACCCCAATTCAAAGCACATCATTTAATTGTCTTGGTCATGGACATTTCCAAGGTGAGATTTTATATATCGTTTCCATAGCTTCTGGTTATCAGAAAACCCAAAGAGTTTGGTCCGGCTGATGTTGGCGTATCCCTTCCAATATTCTTCATCCTCCTCTTTGCTTCTGGAGGCATTTCCTCTGGTTCACTATCTTCATCTTCATTAAAAGCTGCTGCTGCTACTGAAAGGGTTTTTGGAGCAGGAGTTGGAACAGCTTCTTTAGGCTTACTTGATCCAAGTTTGAGGGATATAGCTGCTGCTTTCTTTGTTGTCTGACTACCTATGGCAAATCCAAACTTGGAGATCTTTGTAGGTTTTGTTGGGAGGTCTGCAGCTTCTTCTTCAGCCGATTGCTTCTCAGCGCTGTGCCTGGGACTTTCCCCTCCATTACTGTGGCCTCTCCACCTGGCTCCGGCTTCTCAGGCTTCTCCTCTGCTGCCTTCCCGTCCGCCATTTTCCCGGCTGCGGCCTCCCCTGCAGCTCTCTGCATTTTTTTTAATCTAGGAAGAAATCTGGAACAATATGGAATAACAGTTTCACATTTATAAATCTGCGTTGTATAAGTGTATATCTCATTCTACCTGTGAGCTTTAAGATTGTGTGTGTGTGTGCGTATATGTGTGTGTGCATGTGCGTGCATGTGTGTATGTATGTGTGGTGCTGGCGAGAGAATCCGGCAAGCACTCACCACTGAGCTGTAGCCCCAGCCGAAGCTGGAGTTTGGAGCACAGCCAGGACATGCAGTGAAGGGAGAGAGTCACCAAGTTAGGGCGGAAGCCAAGGCAGGAATCAGGCATGAGACATGAATCATGAAAGGCCTGGGTGAGAAAAGGCTGTCAGCAGGTGAATGTCGCACTTCCCATTTATTCCGTCTGCTTGAAGGGCCCCGAGGGCCCTCAGACAGAAGCTCAGTGATCATGAAAGTAGCTCGAGATCATGGAAGTAGTCTGCCGGGGACAGACTCAGGCAATGGGGGTTTTCCCAGGTGGAAGACCTTGAGCTCCCTGGAGGTCCCCTTGGCCCAGGGACCAGAATGAAAGGAAGCACATTTCACAGAGGCACTTCGACATCCAGGAACATCCAAAAAACACCAACAAGTGGTTCACTCTTCACGGATTTCCATAAAAGCTGCAGAAGATGACCGTGTGGTTGGACACAGCAAAACATCTTACTCTCCCGAATCAGTGGCCCATCGACCACCAGCGTTACCCGCAAGGGAATTTCTAGAGGGAGAAGGTGTGTGTGTGTGTTTCTGCTAAGTGTGAGTTGGGGTGAAGATTTTCTACATTAAGAACAGACTGGTAAATCGGGAAGACAATGATGCCCTGACGTGCTTGGGCATCGCCCATGTCTCCTCGGGGTCTCGAATTCTCACATTCCGTGAGTACACGTTGGCTCTCATTCCCATTCTTCACTCCCCTGATACACACAAGTACGTTTTCTCTACTACCGTCCTCCACTGCACAGGGGTTGGCGCCTGTGGATCGTGTGATTTAAAAAAAATTTTCTGTACTGGGTATTAAAACCCGGCAGCTCTGGGCTAAACCCCAAATCTGCTTTATTTCTGTATTTTGAGACGAGCTCTTAGTTGTCCAGGCTGAGCTCAAATTCTAGATCCTCCTGCCCCAGCCTTCTGAGCAGTTGGGATTACAGGCTGAGCGATTTGCTTTGACCAATGAGGCGCAAGAGGTGTGGGCAGCGCAGACTCCCGATGGCTCGCGGGGTGGGGACGCTGTCCTAGATGTCCCTGTGAGGGGCCTGCTACCCACCCAGAGCAGGGAGAGCTGCGCCCTGCAGGCCGCAGGGAGCCAGGCCTGTTCCCACTGTGCAGTCAGACGCACCGAGCTCCAGTCACTTCCGGCTCTGAGCTCCGCTTCCTCATCTGTTTGGCGCGCATAAAATAATGCGCGGGTCTCGGTTTCCAGTGTGCTAACAGGCTGGGGAGCCCGTACCCAGTAGGCCTGTCGCGAGTGGACGCCCGTGCTCGGAAGTGGCTCAGTGTGTCGTGGGATCATGCGAGAAAGGTAAGCCGATTTCCTCACGGCTAGAAGCGCGTCTCCCCTCCCCTCCTCCCTTACTGCTTCCCTCGCCACAGCGCCCTGTGGGCCTGAAAGCCCGAGAGGCCCAGGCCAGGCCAAGCTGCACTGGGAGTTAAGCCCCGGGAACCAGGGCCCCACGCATTCTGCCCCCACCCGGCCTGATTTTCCCCGGGCGCGGCTCCTCCTTGTCTGGCCTTGTCTCCCTGGCTCCTGTCCTTGGCCAGTGGCCGGCCACACTTCACCTTCTAACAGCCGGCCCTGGGGCAGGGAAATGAGATCCATTCCACAGCCCAGCCAGGGATCCGGGGAAGGAGCGCCAGGGTCTCTGGACACCGACCCGCAGAGCAGCCCAGGGCAGGTGCTCTGTGAGTCTCCCTCTCCCTCCCCTCCATCAGACCCCAGGGGCAGCACTGGGTGCGAATCACTCCAAGGCTTCGTCCTCCGGAAGCACCAGGCAGGGATGGGGCCTCGACGCCTAACTTGCATAGTGACTCCTCCCGTGATGCCTTGCAGCGGTTGTCCAGCCTGGAACCCAGGGTGGGCTTGCAGTGAGGGGCTGGCTGGGATTTCTGCACCTCCGGACCTTACCCACTGCTGCGCCCAACGTGCTCTTAGGAGTCTACCGCGATGTTTTAAATTCTTTACAGTGAAAAGAAAAAAAAAAAAAAAGAAAAAAAGAAATGTTTGGGTTCCAGGAATGTTTTACATTCTTTTTCTTGTATAGCAAAACAATGAAATTCAGAGTCCACGAAAACTTGTTAAATCTTGCCTTAGAAAGACAAAAAGAGACTGTTTCGGTATTTAAAGTTACACCAAAACCATTTATCCATAGTGGTGTTCCCACAGCGGGAGGGCTCCAAGGCCCACGTGTGCAGGGTTGGTGAAAATCACAGCCCAGAAGGGGAGGCGCCAGACCCGGAGACGGGGCAAGATGCATTCAGACACGGTGCTCACTGTGCAGGGGAGGGGCAGGCTGACAGGACACATAGCCACAGGGACAGAAGGACTCGAGAGGAAGCTGTGTTCTTTAGGCTGGGTCGATTAGGGGTAAATGATGATGATAAAACAGCGACAGCTAAGTGTACTGAATGTATATCACATAAATGACTATGGTAAAGTGTCTGAGGTGTGGGAACTGCAGTATTCCTTTTTATTTGTTATATTTTTGTTTTGTTTTGAGACAGAGTCTTGCTAAATTGCCCAGGCTGGCCTTGAAATTGCAGTTCTCCCGCCCCAGCCTCTCAAGTAGTTGGGGTTACAGGCGTGCACCACCACGCCTGGCTACAGATACAGTGTTCTTTGGTGTGACTGCTAATGTCATTACTGTCAGTGTCCTTCTCACCCAGCACGCCAGGCCCTGGGCTCAGGAGTTTGCACATGTCATTTACCTCGTGCAGGTTCTCTGAAAGCTCCAACTGGGGACGCAGGTGCAGGTGCGTCTGCCTTGTTTGTGCAGGAAACCCTGGTGACAGCGCTGTGAAGTGATGATGTCCCTTGGCAGGTAAGGAAACTGAGGCACAGATGGCTCGAGTGGCTGGTCCAGGACTCCACAGCTGGAATGTGAGCTGCAGCCCCAGCCTCTCCATCTCCTCCAGCCTGGAGTTTGGGGCCCCCATAGCCTGTGCCTGGGGTTAGAGCAGGCTCTGGAGCCAGCCGGCCCAATCCAGCTCTGCAGGGACCCGGATGACTGATGCTGCTTTTTGCTTTCTCCGGACCTCGGCGTCCTCCTTGAGTTGCCATGGGGATTAAGCTATTTAATATCTGGAAAGCATTTAAAGCAGCTCTTGGCATGTAATAACTTTCTGATAAGCACAGGCTGTTACATGGAACCTAGCAGTTCCTGGAGTGGCATCACCACACTGGCAGCATCTGTACCACCCAGAGATGCAGGAGGGACTCGTGTGTCCAGGCCATCCTCAGCCCTGAGGCTGAGGCCTTGAGGTGGGGCCCAGTGATCCTTGCTCAAGCCACCCGTGCCCACGACTCCGCTGCACAGTTAGGTTTTTGAGCCATTGTAAGACTAGAATGTTGTTACAAACTATACCTGACAGTAACAGCTAGGAAAAGATGCCTTCCCACTGAGGCAGGGCCACTTGGAGACTGTCTGTGGTTGGTGAGGATGGAAGGTGACATGTATTTTTATTTCGTAGCCATATGTGGATTTTAGTGTGCAGTATAAAATATCATAGGTACTGTGACCTCGTAAGTATTATTTTTAGTGCACGCCTAGGTGAAATAGTGCATCAGTTCGAAGTCAATATAAGGAAAGCAATTTGAGATATTACGTACTGGGAGATGATGGAATGATGAAGATGGTCCCTGAAACCCAAGGTTGGGGGATACTGGACAGTGTGCCATGAGACTGTAATTTGAAGACACAGTTTTTATTGTGTAAACCTTTCAACATACCCCAAATACAGTGAACTTATCTCATTCAGCTTACACCTGCCTCCTGTCTCAGCTGAAGGCGTGTCTGGCTCACCACAGCTGAGCCCAGTGTATTAACCAGGAGTCCATGGGATTCTTGTGCCCTAAGTTCCTGATTGAAAATGAAGGGCTTTAAATACCCACCGAAGAATCCGTGGTCCTGGGATTTGGTGCAGGGTCTCCCGGGCACTAGGCAGCAGTTCTACCACTGAGCTGCATGTCTCACCCCACTTTCCCTTTATTTACCTTTTGAGACACTGTCTCCTTAAGTTACCCAGGCTGGCCTCCAGCTTGTGATCCTCCTGCCTAAGTGTCCGAGAGCAGAGTTCAAAAGTGAGTGCCAAAGAATTCGAAGTTGATCATTTGATAGAGATGGCGGTGAAATCACGGTATATTTGAACAGAGAAATCAGGCTGCAAAAGAGTTACATTTCAGTTCACCAAGGGTTTATGTAGAGAGGGCCAATGTAGTGTCCTGAGGTATGAGATGGGTTTTATAAACCTGAGCTTTATATCACTTTAACAGCTCTAACCCTAAGAGCCACGTCTTGTAACGCAGTGTGGTTCTCCCAGCTCACTGCCGCAGATACCCAGGAAAAACAGGATGTGGGGCCAGCCAGCCTTAGGACTCCAAGCCTCCAGAGCCATATTTTCCTACTTTCTAGCTATATGGTCTTGGACGAATCACTTTGACACTCTGAGCTTTTCTTTCTTGTTCTAAGCATGGTGCTTTCTGTGCAGATCTGGTGAGATCATAATAGTACCTGTTGCATTTTATAACAATAGCCCAGAACTCTGTGCTCTCTGGATACATGGCTGTCTGTGTCTGCAGCTCTGTTATGATGTTTCCCCACCTCCGGACTGGTGCTTCCCTTGGGTGGTTGAGGGACCAGGAGTGCTGAGATGAACAGCCCTGGCCCCGGCGGCAAGCCTCTTGCTGCAGGGGAACCTGCAGGTTGTTCTGTGCTGGGTCCTGTGGGCATCAGGAAGTAGGTAGATCTGGACCGGGTGGGGCAGCAGTGGGGAGGACACACTGCAACACAGACAGCACACTCCAGCCACTGCAGGCTGGGAAGGGGAAGGGGAGGTTTCTTCAGTGGGAGCCCAGAGAGAGCAGCCAGGAGAAGAAGGGCTCTGTACACTCAGGAAGTCAGCGTCCAGCGGGACTCCCATGAGGGAGGTTGTTAGGCAGGGTAGGGAGAGATTTTCCAGAGCTGGCCTGCTGTAGAAGGAAACCTCTGATTTTCAGTTTAAAGCTCCTGATTGGCAGAGGAGAGGAGCAAAGTGTTGGCCCAGGGTTCCGGTAAAGACACGTGCACGCTCTGCACCAACTGTGTTGGCGGCTGGGGCTCAAACTCTTAGACCTGTGTACTAGTGATTTCTACCACTGAGTAAAATGACTCCCTAAATCAGTTCCTGTGGAATGCAGTGAAATACATGTAAGCTAAATGCACTTCCTGGGTTAAATCTTCTTTATATTTTGAAGAATAAGAGATACTGTAGTTAGCAAGTAGTGAAAAACCTTTTCCCACTATGTGTAAAGGAGCACAGAAAGGATTTGCCGTGCTCTGAATGCTTTTTTTTTTGTTTTGGTACCGGGGATTGAACTCGGGACCTTGTGCTTGCGAGGCAGGCACCAGAACCACTGAGCTAAGTCTCCAGCCCTGCTGCGCCCTGAATGCAGTAACGAACTTCCCTTCCAGGTTTGTCCCTCAGGAAGCTCACGTGCAGCACTTGGGAAGAATGGGTTCAACCCAGGCCCACTGCTGGGTAACCAGTGCCCGGGCCTCCCAGGGCCTCACCGCTCACACTCCATTCAGCAGACCCAGGACGTCAGAGAGCCAGAAGAACTGGGCTGAAGGCAGGGAGTTTGGCTCGGCCTTTCCTGAGCTGCACCGCTGGCCGGACTCTGCTGGAGCAGCTTCACCCGAGCCTCCACTCTCTCTGCAGGCCCTGCTCTGGCTCCTGCGCCTTCCTCGAAGAGCAGGGCGCATCTCCCCGGGAACCTGGCCTCAGGGGCTCCAGGGACCCCAGCTGCAGCGGGGCAGCCCCACCCCAGGCAGCCCCTCCATCCTGTCTTCCTTCGCTCTTTGCCTTGAGCGTGGCTCTCCAGGGTGTGAGGCGCCTGGTGGCTCTGGCAGCCGACGTGGTCCTCACATGGGTCCCGACTCCAAATGCAAGCATCTTTGTCATCGCTTCCTTTCCCCCGTTTCCTGGGAATTCAGCACGTTTCAGGACACAGCCTACACTTTCTGCAACAAGACTGCCCTTGCCTGCTTGACTCTCCTCGCCGTTCCCAGGCGACTTTGGATCTACAAGTGTGATGGAAGAATACAGTGAATGAGTAAATAAAAATCTCTTACAGTAAAGGACTCATTCATCATCCCCTCCCTTGTCCTGCTCACTTCAGTACACACATCCCATTCTTTTCGCCCTTGTCTGAAACAATTTGCAGCTTATATTTATGGAGATTTCTGTCAAATCAAAATATTAGGCTGTGTCTTTATCCACACCAGATCTGCCACCACGTGACTTCCAGCTCTCAAAATGACCATGGCAGTGCACGTTTTGAGTGGATTCAGGACATCGAGGCAGCCACGATAGCACAACTAAAGACACTCTTGAAAGAAGGCTCGCGGAACTGCTCCAGAAAGTGGCAAGAATGATGGGATAAGTGCGTTCGCTGGGAGAGGGAGTATTTTAAGGACGATTCATGGGACAGGGTCTTCTACTGTAATAATTGAAAGAATTGAAGCATTCACCTCTTTTTTTTTAATCATTCTGCCTACCGTAGTCATTGCATGCACGGCTGCGTATTAGGAAGTTTCTGTGTACGGCCACGCTCCTCCTCACTCACCGCTGGAATGAGATTGTAAGCTCTTTGAGAGCAGGGAACATTCCTTACTCATATTTATCATCCCGAGGCTTTGGGTCTCGGAGGGACTTCTGAAGCCAGGTCAGATCTTGCCCTCTAGCAGCTCTGTGGCCTGGGAAGGAGAGGGGAAGAGACCACAGTGGCGACACAGTCACGGGAGGAATACTGGGAATGAGCCACCCCTGCCTGATGCATGGATTTGAAACCAACCCTTAGGGGAGAATTTTATCGTTGGTGCCTTTGACTTTGCTTTGTTTGGCTTATTTATCTTTTCCTTTTTTGTTTTGTACCGGGGATCAAACTCAGGACCTTGCACTTGCGAGGCAGGCACGGTGCCGCAGAGCTAAATCCCTGGCCCATTTTTTCCTTTTGATGAATTCTATCTTCTCTGATTTGCAGTGAGATTTTGGGACAATAAGCTTTCTTAGTATTGAGCCTCAGTTTCTTCAATTATAACCTGAGGGTGGATTTGTTTTTGCTAAGTGAGGCGCCTTCTGGAAGAAACTCTGGCAAGGCTGGGACCAATGCTGCATAAGGGAGAGCGCTGTAGAAGCCTGGAGGCTGTGAGAGGCCATCACAGGGCCCCTCTGTGTTCACCGCGGATGCCCCTGATAAGGCTGTCGGGGTAGCGCAGCAGCCGCGCTGCCTCCTTGAGGACTGGGAATCCACCTGACCGTGTTCCCTTTCGCTTCTCACTCACCGTGAGGTTATCCCTGGTGCTGGAGGTTGCTAGGAGAGGCGCCCAGCAGGGAGACTCTCTCTGGCTACATTGTGGCCCTCCGCCTCCCCAGCAACACATGGGCCCTGAGCCCTGGAACCTCACCGAGTGGGGGGGGGGGCTCGGGGCCCAGGGGCTGAGCAAGCACTCCCGAGGGTTTGGGAAGTGCACGTCTGACCCTCTTCTTTGAAAACATATGCGTTAGTAGAAAATTTGAATAGTGGCAAGGCCAGCAGGCAGGAGGCAGTTGTCACTGAAAAGTCATTTCCCTCACGGTTTGCAGGAAGAGGCATCCCCGGGAGGGCGGGATGCTCGCAGGGCCAAGAAATGTAGAAAACCCCAGGAAGATGCACTAAGGAGTGGTGCATGGCCTTGTTCTGAAAAAAAGAGTGAAGGAGTCCAGCTGGAAAGGTGTGACTTTGTCCTAGCGTGTGTGAGCGTGAGTGCGTGCGTGCGTGCGTGTGTGTGTGTGTGTATACCAGAGAGACCAGGGTGTGTAAAAGGCATACTTGGGAGAAGGGCATGGTTTAGCGTCCCCTTTGTGTGTGATGCGCACGAAGCCCACTCCAGCTGGGTGTGGAGCAGCTGATCCACAGAGTGCTGGGGAGAGACACGTGCAAGAAGCCCAAGAGTGAAGGTGACAGAGGCGGCCTTCGGTCAGCTGCCCTTGCCCATCTGCTGGGCGACGACATCTCCCCAGGGGTGATGCCGAGGCTCTTCAGGAGCCTGTTTCATCCTCTAGTGGGATCAGTGAAAATTTCTCTGGTCCAACGACAGTGTTTGGGTTTTTAGGACAAAGCTTGTCTCCTACACTTACCTGTTTTTTATATTCAGTGACAATGACAATTAGATTCTTTAATAAGTCCTCATTTCCTTTGTCTTGAAAGTGACTTGAATCACTAAAACCATTTAAGCATAAGCTCATGGAACCTTTAGAGCTTGTCCTTTTGCACAGATTCTTTGAACATCAAAAGTGGACAGGGCTGTCTGGGGTTTATCAACCAGGACAACCCATTGGCATGGCCTGCCTGGGTCCCGGAGCTTCCTGCCCTGCGCTGTGCACTGTTACAGCCGTGTGAGATCCGGCGGGCTGGACGTGGCTCCGCCCTTGGATTCACGTGGATTCTGAAATGCTGAACTAGTACTTCATCCAAATTCCAATGTGGAAATAGGAGCCCACTGAGAATTCTCCTAGGTTTGTTTATAGAAAATGAATATTAATTTTTGTTAAGCTGAATACATTTGCATTGATTTTCCTAAATTACCAACAGCTTGCTTAGTAAAAGGGAAACAGAAGTGAATCCTCCTCAGTTAGTGGGTGGATGTGTGTGCACGTGTGCATGTGTGCTCTACACACACACAGTCTTTTGGTATCAGTTTACCCTGTCAGTTGGAAGGAGAGAGCTGCCATCGAAACAGTCTTTCTTTGAACCCTCTGAGCAGGCGCTGACCTGATGGGACAGGTTGTCAACCCACCCCCACCCTGACACAGTGTGCTGCCCAGTCCCCGAGGATCCAGTGGGCGATGGAGATGCCACGTTTAGACTCAGACTGTGTACTACTTGTCCAGACCGCAAAGGGAGAAGTAGCTGAAGGGCCTCAGCTCTGTGGTCCTCAGCCTGCAGGGCCAGAGAGAGCGACCCAGTAGTGAGAAGGGCTGGGACTGGGACTGGGACCGTCCCTCAGTGCAGCAGTGTGGGTTTGTGCTCCGCCTCTCTGCTCCTCGGGAAGCAGGCCAGAGAGTCCCTCACAGACCCGGGAGGCCTCGAGAAACTGGCTGGTGGCAGCTTGCAGGGGACATGGCTGGGGAGTGGGCAGTGGCCCTGTAGCCGCTCCCTGGGGCTCACTGCCCATCTCCTGGTAAGATCCCGAGATGTTGTGGAGCACCTCTGTGACCCGGGGCTCAAGCCTTTGCCTGCAGGGGCTGTGTGGACACGGGCGAGGCCACCACGCAGGAGCCCATGCCTGACACCATCCTTCTGAAGCAGCTGTCCCCTGGGAACAGTCTGTGACTTGGTGATTCGGCTCTGAGCACTGTGCTGCAGCAGACGGTGCGGCCTGAGGTATGAGGTGTCGAGTGGACCTGGGGCTTGAGAGCCTCAGGTCCGTGGTTCATAGTTCTGCCGTTCGAAGCCAGGTGGACCTGGCCCAGTTACCGAACCTCTGTGGATTCTCATCCTTCATCTCTCCAGTGGGGACAACAGCACCAGAAACTGAGGAGGGGCTATGGGCAGTGTGTTCAGAATGGTGTGAGATACAGGGCGACACCCACAGAAGGAGCCCTGCGTGTTATGAGGACACAAGGTGGTGCCAGGCTCCTTGCCGAGCCCCTGGGATGGGGACGCCGGCACAGGAAACCCCGAGCACTGTTAATTTACCAGAGAGCTGACATCACCGAGCGTAAAGGGGCGAGGAAGCAGCTTATTCATGATTGTTGACAATGGCTTTGCCAAGAAGAGATCCAAGGCCCTACAGCCCATTCTTTGTTGGACTCTGTTTAGCTGCAGCTCGGACTTGGCCCAGTGACAGGCTAAAGGTAGAGAGTGTTGGTCACTTGGTAAAGGCCTCTGCCAAAGAGTGCTATCATGGTCTCTGTGGAAGTCCTGGCCACGGACAGTTCAGCCCTCATTTTCCTTCCACAGCCAGCTATGCAGTGCTGCACAGGCAACCTGATGGGAACAGCCGGTCATTTCATGCCCTCTGGGACGCTTGCTGAGGACTTTGAACACAGGTGTGTCGGGACAGAGCGCTAAAGCCGGCCGTCTTCCAGTTAGCAGCCCCTCGGTTCTCTGAAACAGTCACAGAGTGGGAACCAGGCGCCCCTGTCTGGAGCTTTGTATGCAACTCAGGATCCAACTCTCAGTGGAAAATTAAAAACAAAGTCATTATTATATATTCTATTTACTAAAAATGCAGCTATTAGCAAGAGCCTGTGGGCATGTGTGGAAAATGCTGTAATTAAATTAAATTAAATCCAGCAGTTAGAAGTAACATTTTCCACTAAGAAGGAGGAGGACGAGGACGAAAACAAAGCCCATCAGAAAATTCCAAACCAGAAAAGTGCAAGAAGTGGCCAGGATTCTCCTAGGAGGAGGAAGATGTTGTAACTTATTACTGCTGCCCTGAGATGATGGAAAAGCAATAGATACATTTTGAACAAGGCTAGGCCTCTCCAGGCACTGGGAAATGATGTTTGCTTGGGAGAAGGTGAGCAGCATTAGATCCTGTCCATGGCAGGAATTGTGTGGTGGTGATCGGCGGCTGTCAGGCCAGGCCACTGTGATCTGGGGGAGCAGGAAAGTGGTGCTTTCTCCTCACTGCAAAGGCTGGGGTGGGGGACTCTGCTGGGAGAGTGACAGTCATGCTTTGTTGCTGCAGAGTTAGGGCTGTTTTCATCAGCACATCCGTGATGGCAGTGGACGAGGCAGCAGAGTGGGATGAGCCCCAGATGTAGCTCCAGCTGGCTTTTCTTTTGGGAAAGGTGTTGCTGCTGAGAGGTCGGTGGCATCACACAGACCTTTCCGCAGCTCCTGTTTCTCTGAGAGGCCAGAAGGCTCTCCAGGTCCTTGGGTCACTGTCCTGGGATCCGAGTTGCCTGACTACTACTTGGCTGCTTCTGGGACTTGCTCAGAAATCCAGCTGCTCTGGGGTATTCTAACAGATGAAGTGGTCTAGGCAGCCCAAGGTGAGGTCAGACCAGTCAGTGCTTGGGGGTGGCAATTCCCTGAAACTTGAGGGCAGAGGAGTCCTCTAGCAGTGGTGCCAGGAGCAGCTGCTCAGAGACAGACTCGGGCCACCAGAAATGTTCTACTTGTGTCGTATCAGAAATTTGGTTAGCCCCACATCCGGGAAATGTTATCTCAAACCATGCCAAGGGTATGTGCTCCCAACTGGCTTGTTATGATGTGGAATTTATCAGCTTTGATTGATCCAAATTGGCCAAATAATCTAGTTTGTGTCATCAGAATGTCTGGAGCTTTCAGTCTAAAGGTGACTGCGGCTGTCACCGAGCCACTCAGGGGTTTTGATGGAAAGCTGTGAGGCCCAGAAAGAATCCTGTCCTTTCAAGCTGGGATTGTTGGGGCACTGTGCCCCGGGAGTGGGTTCACAGTTCACCAGGGGCCTGGGGGAACTTCCGATGACTGCAGATTTGGGCAGCGAGCCCATTGGTGCCCCTGGGACATCTGCTGCTTGGGGAGGAGGTAAGTTCTGGCACCCAGGCCGGCACCTCTAGCTGTGGACAAAGGCTCCCCAAGTTTACACAAGAGGGGCGCGTTTGTTCCTTGAACCCCCCGTGGGAAGGACTGGAGGAATCAAGGCCTTATTTGATATACAAGGATCGAAGAAAAAATGCAGGCGTGTTTAAATTTAAAACATTTATTACAGTAAAAGACACATTGTCATCAATCTGCCTCAAAATACTTCCTTTTGATTTGAACACACTTATCCCATTGTTCTTGCCACTTTCTGAAGTATTTCTAGAAGTTCCCTTTCATGACTGTCTCTAAGAGATATCATCAAAATGCAGTGAATGCTGCCGAGCACTGTCCAGCAGAAAGGCAGCTCCTAAAAACACGGTGCTGTGTTGTCATCCACCTTATTCACTGGGTCTGGCACCAGGCGACTTCTGGCTTCTTCCCATGAAAGGCCAAGTTTTGAACGGACAGCGTAACCACAGGCATTCAGGAAAGAGGGCTCCAGAGCTGCTTCAGGAAGTGGCGAGAATGATGGGATA